CGCAATAATATAATATATATATATATATATATATATATATATATATATATATATATCAGTATAAAACCGAAATAGTATCTTGATACTAAAATAACACTGGTTTCACATACTATTTAAAACAATTGTAAGCAGCATAGTATAGTATATACTGTACTGCAAGTAGTATAACAGTAGTATTCCATTGTAAACATAGCCATAAATAAACTAAAATGTTGAAGTATATGTGTGTTTTCTGTTATCATTTAGTTTCTACTGGAGGGTCTGGTACGGATAATGAGGAGGAAGCAGAGTCAGAGATGAAGCTCAGGTGAGAACAGCTTTCAGCTTTATATCTGCTAAAAACGATGTGCTTGTGATATCACAGTTAATAAAATCTCAGGGAAGAATCATATTGTAATAGAAGAGTTTGCATGGTTAAGCTGTAGTGTACACTTGAGTCTGTTGCTACTATTATCCATTAATCCAGCTGGTGTTTGATGCCATAGTCTTTGGCTTCCTTCTGACAGTGATTGTGAGTGGGTGTGGGAGGAGCTGCAGTACCTGCGCTCTCAGATAGAGGGCGACAGAGAACAGCAGCAGCTACTGATGGTTTATTTGTGCAGGCAGAACCAGAATCTTGCCATTAGTACACAGCATTACATTGACCTGTGAGTGCTGCCTGCAAGGGCATGTGTGCAGTGCAGTGTTTCTTATCTCTATAACGGAAATCTTTTAAGGCTTTAGTCATTTATGGTTTTTGTGTTGTATTTTCTCTTTGGGTGACAGTCTTTACAGCCAGATTCAGGCTCCATCCCAATTTATATACTATCCATATTATATAGTATGAAAGATTATTATTATTATTAATGTGTCCCAAATTATGCTACCGTTGAAAGTTTTTTTTCTTTTCTTTTTTTTTCCACTTCAGCAAGGATGCATTCAATTCAAAAGTGACAGTAAAGACATTTATAATGTTACAAAATATATGTATTCAAATAAATACTGTTCTTTTCAACTTTTTTCATTCATCAAAGAATAAATAATTATAAAATGTTTCCAAAAAATTTGAAGCAGAAAAACTGCTATTTTCAACATTGATAATAATCAGAAATGTTTCTTGAGCAGCAAATCAGCATATTAGAATGATTTCTGAAGATCATGTGACACTCAAGACTGGAGTAATGATGCTGAAAATACAGCTTTGATCACAATATATATTTTAAAATATATTAACATAGAAAACACTTATTTTAAATTGCAATAATATTTCAAAATATTACTGTTTTTCATGTATTTTTGATTAAATAATTGCAGCCTTGGTGAACAGAAGAGACATCTTTCAAAAAAAGTTTTTAAAAAATTTGTTAAAACTTAGAATGATAGTGTTTGTTTTTTTAGATTTTTGAAGCATGCATCCATGCATGCTATTTAAACTAGTAGCTGCCACAGCAGATTTTAAATGAACCTAAACTTTAAATTAATTTTAAGTTAATTAATTTAACTAGATGCTAGAAGTATCTAGTAGTAGAAGTATAGGATTTGGGATTTAGCCTTACTCTTTTACAGCCTAATTTCCTTATTATCTTGTGTGTTGTTGTTGTTGTGTTGATTGTTGATGTTTTATCATGTCCCTCTGATTAATTACTGACAGTTTTGTTCTCTCTCTGTAATTATTTGTGTGTGTGTGTGTGTGTGTGTGTGACAGACTCTCTGCAAAGCTACAGGAAAAAGACTGGCTCATTCAATCTCTGCAATATCAACTGCGAATACAAGTTCCCAGAATGCACCAGTGCTCAGACTCCGAGATGAGTGACAGACTGTCCGTTGAAGGCACAACCTCCTTCCACGACAGCCCTCCTGCTGGCCGCAGGCAGACCCCCAACAGACCTCACACAGGTAACACTCACCTGATCAGGTGTAAGTTTGTTTCTAAACGCATCTGATTGCATCTCAACTAACACATTAGAATCCCAAATTATAACTGAATGTTCGTGAACATCCTTCCAATAAAGTTCTTCAATGTTTTATCAGCCTAGAACGGACTCCGTGGTAATAGATGAATGTAATCTCAGTTCAAGGCAGAGCACCTTTTAAATCAAGCTGAATTATTTATCCAGTAAACCTTCACATGGGGCACTTGTTGATTTCCCACAGTGACCTCTTGACCTGGAGAGATATATAGGTCAAATGAGTTTTGGTACTTTGTAACACTGAAGTGTTGTTTAATTTCTCAGAGTATCACAATCTCAATGCTTATGTAATAATATTCTGTGTAAACTGTCCAGTTCTGTGTTTAGGTGGTGTTGATGCTTTGTCTTCTTGAATTATAAGTTCGGTTTAAGTAACAGGAGTTGATGTTGTATTAGTATTATTGATATACTGTTACAGTATTGATTAGTATTTTCAATTGGGTTTATTTTTGTTTTTGTGATTTTCTTTGTGTTTTTTTATATTTAGGTTTATCTTTGTTTTAGTAATTTTAGTACCCGTGTTATTTTAGTATTTATAAATTCTGATCATATTTATTCATATTTTCAATTAGTTTTTATTTTTGTATTTTCAGTTTTCATTTGTGCTTTTGTCTTTTTTTTCCACTTTGTTTTTGTTTTTTAAATAAATGTAGTACCAGTGTTATTTTAGTAAACGCTCCTAGTATTAATATTTTTAATTTTTAGTATTTATTTTAGTAATACAATTTTTGTAGTTTATTTATTTATTAATTTTTTAGTAATGTTATGTGCTTTTGTCTTCTTTTTTTTCTGTTTAGGTTTAATTTATTTTTATTTTATTTGAGTGATTTTAGTACTTTATTTAAATTTTATTTAGTCATTTATCAGACGCTTTTATCCAAAGTGACTTACAAATGAGGACAACAGAAGCAATCAATTGTAGTATTAAAACAACTAAAAACGGATCCAAAACTAAAAGCTAAAACTTTATAAATACTACTTATACAAAATATTAATAAATAACAAATACAAATAATATAAATCAAACGACAGTAGGTTATCAGTAATCCTAAAAAATAACACTGTCAAACATACATGCTAAAAAACAATAACTCACTTACACCTAGTAAGAAATGGTTATAAAAACTGAAACAGAAGTGAAACAAGTAATAGGAAAGAGGAGAAATAAAAAGCGATACGTATCCTTTGCCAGTGTCCCTGCCCGGTGGAGTCGCACGGTAGAGTCGATGGTCTTTACACTCTTCGGTCTTCACACGAGGAGGCCTTCACGCGACGGCTGCCGCGGTAAACTAAGCTTTTTTTATACCCCTCTAACAAAATACTAAATTAATTCAGCTGGACACACTTTCCTTATTTTTTCCACAACAAATGGCCAAGCAAGCGCAGACACTGACAAGATACGCGATATCAGCACGTCTCCACACAGTAAACAAAACAAGCGTTTCCTTGCAACGACAACTGCACTAAACACTAATGAGACAAGTAAATACACTTAGGAGCTGCTTTTAACTTCAGCTGATAAAGACTGCTTCTCTCAAAGAGTATTTCTTTACACTGTTTTCTGCTGGCGTTTGAACACTTTTCCACAACAAATGGCCAAGCAAGCGCAGACACTGACAAGATACGCATACTGAAATTATTATTTCAGTCCATTGCCATGGCAAGTTTAATTTAAATGTCTATTTTTGAGTTTTAAATTATTTTTGTAGGAGTGATGCATAATTGCAATACTTCAGCAAAACGTATTTATTATTTATCACTGATTGTATCTTTTGAGGTATTTTAGTGAACAACGAGCCCAACCCATGTGTGCTGTCTTGATATTAAATATGCATTTATCTATTTTTGTTAATCTGCGGGCTTGAGTATTAGAATTGTGTAATGAAATGGCAGGAGCTGAGGCTGGTGTCCCGTTACTGGTCCTTACAGATGCATTATTCAGTATGCACTGTTATCTCCTCTGCCCTCCTGAGAGCCTTTAAGAGCCCTGAGCCAGTGGGTTGCTGATTTGTTGAGTTAGTTTCATGCAAACGGATAGATTATTATTATTATTATTTTTTTTTTTTTTTAAGTAAAAGCATTGGCACAAGATGCTGGAGTAACTCTCATAGCACTACACTAGCCAACAGAAGGAATTTGTTACTCCTGATGTCTCTTCAGAACGACCTGGTTCAGGTTTCCCAGCAGCTGGGACACAATAGATCAAGA